CCGAGGGCGGAACCGAGGGCGGAACCGAGGGCGGAACCGAGGGCGGAGCGAAGCGGAGGCAGAGCTGGCTGCGGAGCTTTATTGGCGGGCGGCGGAGGGGCGCGGTGTGGCCGAGCCCCGCAGCCCCGCGTTAGGGCAGGTGTAGCAGCGCGTGCCGCTGGCGGAACGCCTCCAGCAGCGACAGCACCCCGCGCTTCCGCGGACCGGGCCCCGCCGCGCCGCCGCTGCCCCCGCCCGCCTTCGCCCCCCCGGCGGTAGCGCGCTTCGCCTTCGGCCCCGGCGCGGCGGCTACGAGGCACTTCTGGTACTGCACCTGCGGGTACGCGGGCGGCGTGGCGGCGGGCGGCTCCCGATCCGCTTCCCCGTCGCCCCGCGCCGCCCCGCTCACCATGCAGGCTGCCTGCACCGCCTCCGAGATGGTGCCCGCGTCGGGCTCGCACCAGAACGCCGCGCACTGGAAGCGCCGCCCGGTGTCGGCGATCAGCGCGAAGGTGTGCGCGTCGCGGCCCACGCCGAGGAAAGTGACGTAGCGCACCTCGCACTGCCACACGTGCGCCCCGTCCTCCTCCTGCGGGCGCCGCGCCGGTCCCGCCCCGACCCCGCCGCGCTCCCCTCGGCCCCGCCCCGGCCCCACCTGCGCCCGCCGCACCCGCACGGCCGTGTCGGACACGTAGACGTGGGCGGGCGTCCAGCTGTGCCGCCCGGGGCCCGCCAGCAGCTGCTCGATGGCGGCGTTCAGCACGTCCATCCCTGCGGGGAGAGGCGCGCGGTGCTCCCCGCCCGCTGCGGGGCTGAGGCGGGGCTGCGGCGGGGCGGCCTTACCCATTGCCCTGGGCACGGGCCGGCTGCCGATGTACAACGCCTCGTACTGCCGGGGCGGCCTCCCTACGGCGTCCTGGACGTCCGCTGCCGGGACACGAGCGGTTAGCGGGACCCCCGCCCCAGCCCGGACCCCGAATCCCCCCGGGGCGCGCGCGGTACCTGTACGCAGGGGCCACGTGGCCGCGGAGATGGACTCCAGCGCGGCGCTGCGCGGTGAAAGTCTGCTGCCCGCTGCTGCGCGCTCTGCCACGATCTGCCGGGGACGGCGATCCGGTTCGTGCGGGGCCCGGCGCTCCCGGAGCGGCCCGACGAGAGAGATCCGCGGAGCGCACCTGGGAGCACATCCCGTGCAGCGCCTTGGCGATGCCCTTGGCGGGCACGTTGCAACGGAAGACGTGGCACTTGAGCACGCAGGTGTCCTTGTCACTCGCCACGAAGGCGAAGTCCCTGCGAGACCGCGAAGGTCTGAGCTTAGCCCCGTCAGAAGTGGCGCTCCGCTCGGCCCCGCACAGGCTTTACCTGCCGTTACCTGTCCCTGTGCGCGGCGTGGCGGTGGGGGAAGAGTGAGGCGGTCAGTTCGTGCCTGGGCCCCCCGGGGCCGAGCGGTGGAGCTGCGGCGCACCCACGGCCCCGCCCCGCGCCCAGCACCTGCCCTTGTTGCAGCCGACGCCCCAGACGCGGATGTTGAGGATGGGCTGACAGTGGATGAGGCTGTGGTCCAGAGGGTCCACCAGGCTCATGGTGTCCTTCTTCAGGATCATCACCAGGTCCTGGCCCTGCGGGGAGCCGGGGGCACCCTTACCTGGTAGCGGCCCAGCCACACACGTCCCATGTCCCAGAACTACACCGAGGATGGGAACAGCCCCGTCCTGCAGCACTGCACTCCGCGGAGCACAGCAGCAGGACCTCCGTGCAGCTCACCTCTCCCCAGCTGTCTGCAGAGCCTCGGCCCTGGCTGTTGGAGAGCTGCTGGATGCAGTTGTTGACAGCAATGCTGCTCTTGCCAGGCGCTAGGTCCTCCTCGGGGATCTCCACCCAGCCCAGTGAACGCACAGCAAAGCACTGAGCAGAGAGATGGTGGGCCTCTGCCGGGCTGACATAGCCCTATCCTGTACCTGTATCTGTATCTGTGCCTATATGGCCAGCCCTGCTCCCACCCTGGTGCCTGTCAGCTGCTGCCACCTCCCTCCTGTGCCACTCCTGGCAGCCTGTACATGGCAGTGCAGGGAGCCCTCAGGCTGTGTGTGTGCAGGGAAGTGCCTTGATGCATTACCTTGGAGCTGGGCTCTGCACCACACTGCTGGAAGTCATCACCTTGCCATGTCAGCGATGCCCTGAAGGGATGGGATGAGGTGGGGAGGGGTAAGCTCCTGCTCAGCATTTCTGACCTTGAGAGTCCCAAGGAGCAGCAGAACACCCCCACACCACTGTCAGGGCTGCATCCTACCATGGTGCCAGCTCAAACTTCTGGCCTCAGTAGGTGGAACCCTGAGTTTTCCCGGCCACAAGTCAGCAGAGCACAGGGGCAACCTTACCTCCTGGTCAGCGAGGCCATGGGGCTGGGAACAGGCCTGGCTTTTGATGTGTGCTTCACCACAGAGACCTGGCAGTCCTGAGAGAGAAGAGGGGTTGTCAGGAGAACATATATCTGCAGAGGCACCCGTAAGAGGCCTCCCTTCTGGGAAAGCAATCTCAGCTCATGGACAGCCTGGCAGAATGGCTGGGGTGGGGACACTGTGAGGCTTCCTGAAGTTCTTCAAGGGACTTAACGCTGGCTAGGAATGGACTGAGCACGACTTTGGGGTGACAGAGTCCTGCTATGGTGGCTGCACAAAGTACCCAGAGACTTCTGTGTCTGCACACTGGCTGTTGGGATCCAGCACCAGCCCTTCCTTCCCTGCCCATGTCCTATACCGTTTCCTGGAGCGTCTTCTCTCCATCAGCCTCCAGGAATCCTCCTAGGTTGCTAGAGAGAGCAGGGTGCTGCCACTGTGTTGTGCCCGTGGGCACGTGCCAGTAGTAGGTGCCCAGAGAGTCATGGATTTTTCTCCAGCCGGGAGGAAGGTCAGGGTCCGTCTCCAGGCTCTGGTCACTCCAGAGGTTGTCTATGCAGAGACAGGGTGAGGCAAGGGAGAAAGCTCCCACAGCTGCTCCCAGCTGCAGGGAGCAGTAAGCAATAAACTGGTGAGAAAATGGTTGCACAGTGGCC